TATGGGGTATGGCAATCTTGCAGGCAAACTGAACCCATTTTTTTTTTAATAGGGTTGAGGGTCATTCCATCTCCCTGCTGAAGCAATATAGGAGTTTTATATCCATGGAGCTTTATACTATCCTAGGGTTGCCATATTTTGAAGAGCAAAAAAGGAAGACACATTTGCCCTCCTCTGCTTTTAACTACAGATGACAACTATCATTTAAAATATGCCTACTATATGTAGGCTATAGAACAGGGGTCAGCAAACTTTTTCAGCAGGGGGCTGGTCCACTGTCTCTCAGACCTTGTGGGGGGCTGGACTATATTTTTTTTGGGGGGGGTGAACAAATAACCAAGAGATGCATTTTAAATAAAAGCACACATTCTACTCATGTAAAAACATGCTTTCAGCAAAATAATAATAATAATAATAATAATAATAATAATAATAATAATAATAATAATTTAAGATGCTGCTCTGTTGTGATTCTCTGCTGCAGACAAGTTTAGCCGGGTGCCTTAGATCGAAGTCTAATGCAGTAGAAAAAGTTTCTCGGGTTACTGCAAACAAAAAAACCAAGCTAAAAAATCCGTTTTTGGCCAAATTTTGTGCCAAATTTGCACCCAGACCTGGAAAAGAGGATGTGTCCTGGAAAAGGAGGACATATTTCTTGCCCAGCACTGAGCCTCTCCGCAGAACCAGAGCACAGAGGCCATTTCATACAGCAAAGAAATAAGAGCGAGCAGTCCAGGAAAAGGAACGAATTCTAGTTCCTCCAGAAGCACAGGGGAGGTAGCTGAAGATGAATGGGAGCCAGTGTTTCCGTTGTCATGGCGACAGGCAAGAAGCGCAGACAGTCCTTAGGCTGGCTGTGCTTTGCCCTTTTCAGAGAGAAGGCGAGTGATGCCAAGCCGGACTAGAGGTCTCAGGTGCATCACCTAAGCCAGCCTTGAAGCAAAGTCTCCCAGAGGCTGATGTGTCAGGAAGGAGATGGTGAAAGTTAAGAGAATGACAAAGCCAAGCGGATAAGTACCCAAAAGAGCTGGAGGGGATAGGGGAGAGAAAACTAAGCGATCAAAAGAGGAAGGAAATTTTGGGAGCTGTAGTTTGTTGAGGGGGAATAATAGTTAGGAGACCCTGTATTCTTCCTCACAGAGCTCACGGGGAAGAGGGACTGATTGTTAAACCACTCTGGAAGTTATAGCTCTGTGAGCGGGACTTGGGGTCTCTTAACATCCAGTGACACGTCCCAGAATCCTTTGGGGGAAGCCATGCTTGTTTAAAGTTACATGAGTAAAGCTAACGCTATTTTAGGCTGCATCAACCAAAGTATAGTGTCCAGATCAAGGGAAGTAATAGTACAACTCTTTTCTGCCTTGGTCAAACCAGAGTTCCCAGGATTATTTGAGGTAAGCCATTCACTGTTTAAAGTGGTATGATACTGCCTTAAACAGTATACAGTAAAAAGGTAAAGGACCACTGGACGGTTAAGTCCAGTCGAAGGCGACTATGGGGTTGCGGCGCTCATCTCACTTTCAGGCCGAGGGAGCTGGTGTTTGTCCACAGACAGCTTTCCGGGTCATGTGACGAGCATGACTAAACCGCTTCTGGCACAACGGAAGACCGTGACAGAAACCAGAGCGCATGGAAACACTGCTTACCTTCCCGCCGCAGTGGTACCTATTTATCTATTTGCACTGGTTATCCAGTGATGGCCAAACTTGGCCCTCCAACTGTTTTGGGACTACAACTCCCATCATCCCTAGCTAACAGGACCAGTGGTCAGGGATGATGGGACTTGTAGTCCCTAAACAGCTGGAGGGCCGAGTTTGGTTGTGCTTTCAAACTGCTAGGGTTGCCATATTTCAACAAGTGAAAATCCAAACACAAAAGTTGTTGAGTTTTTTTTGGGGGGGGCACTGCTTCTGACTGTGGTATTTTGTGTATGTCTGGACATATGGCATATGCAAATTCCAGACGTATGGCAGGTTGGCAGAAGCTGGGACAGAGCAACGGGAGCTTACTACCATTGAGTGGATTTGAGCTGCCGACCTTCCAATCAAGAATGTGGCTTTCAAGTCAAGAATTCTTCTCCCCGCCCTATGACTATGTGGAGCAGGGAGCAAGCGAGATCACTCCATTTAGGAGTGGGTGACGATTAACCCCTTGAAATTTCAGGTGCAGAGGATCTATTTTCCCTGTTCCAAGTTCTATAGGGTTGTAGTTGTGGTTTTAAAATTTGCCTCTCGGAACAGGCTGTCACAACAAATAAGCTAAAAGAGGAACAACAAACTAAAAATGACTGCAGTGCAGCTTTAGAAAAAAGCCTCCCCAAACGTTTTGCTATTGGAAACTTTATCTGTGAGCAAGGCTTGAACCGGATGACTTGCCAGGGGAAATTTCTTTCCCCCTTCCCTCCCCAGACGTAATGTATTGACTGGGGTGGTAATGTTGGTCTTCTTTTGCTTGTCATTAAGATCTGTTTCTCTTTTTCCTTGTTCCTTGTTCCTTCTCTTTCGAATTATTGGCTCTGCTTGGCTCTTCTCCGATTTTACATCTTCTGCTAGTAGTTATTTGTCTCCTGCCTGGGCCGGTTTTCCAATCTCACTGCCTGAAGTTGGATCTCATTGCTCTTTTCCTCTTCCTGAGGTTGCAGCGGAGGTCTCATTCACACATAGCGCATACCTTAAACAACCACGGCTATAGTTTACCTGCACACTGCTACAATTCCCAACAGAGGAGCCATTAATGGATGCTGGGTTTCTGCTGATGTTTTTATGTATAAAGTCCTTCCCATTACATTTGCTTTTGGCAGATGACACAACCTTGATAGCAGAAAGTGAGGAGGAATTAAAGAACCTTTTAACGAGGGTGAAAGGGGAGAGCGCAAAATATGGTCTGAGGCTCAACATCAAAAAAACGAAGATCATGGCCACTGGGCCCATCATCGCCTGGCAACTAGAAGGGGAAGAAATGGAGGCAGTGAGAGGTTTTACTTTCTTGGGCTCCATGATCACTGTAGATGGTGACAGAAATCACGAAATTAAAAGATGCCTGCTTCTCGGGAGAAAAGCAATGACAAACCTAGACAGCATCTTAAAAAGCAGAGACATCACCTTGCCAACAAAGGTCCGTATAGTTAAAGCCATGGTTTTCCCAGTGGTGATGTATGGAAGTGAGAGCTGGACCATAAAGAAGGCTGATTGCCAAAGAAATTATGCTTTTGAATTATGGTGCTGGAGGAGACTCTTGAGAGTCCCATGGACTGCAAGAAGATCCAACCTATCCATTCTGAAGGAAATCAGCCCTGAGTGCTCATTGGAAGGACAGATCCTGAAGCTGAGGCTCCAATACTTTGGCCACCTCATGAGAAGAGAAGACTCCCTGGAAAAGAACCTGATGTTGGGAAAGATGGAGGGCACAAGGAGAAGGGGACGACAGAGGACGAGGTGGTTGGATAGTGTTCTCAAAGCTACGAACATGAGTTTGACCAAGCTGTGGGAGGCAGTGGAAGACAGGAGTGCCTGGCATGCTCTGGTCCATGGGGTCACGAAGAGTCGGATACGACTAAACAACAACATCATAGGGATCAATGGTTCTTCCCAAATGACAGTGACTCAAAGAACACAATAGGTGCTATTCAACTGAAGTTTACTCAGAGCAGACTTACTGGAATGCTAACTTACTCACCTCTGTTGATTTCAGAGGGTCTACTCTGAGTAAGATTGAGTACCACCTGCATGATATTCATGTGATTCATGATAGGATCAGTGGTTCCCACTGTGGGCAGTGCCCCCCTCTGTGGGGGGGGGATTACCTGGGGAGGGTATTAAGAGGCAAGGGGGCACCAGGGGGAGCTGTAAATAACTATGACTCTGAAAAGTGGATATTGCTGGATCAAGTCCATCACTTTTGTTGAATTAAACTACATAGTTTTAACTGGATTTTGAATAAATGTGTAATCAGTGGTCACTGTTTTGAATTTTATTGTGTTTTTTATCTTCCTTGGTGGGGTCGTGCAAACTGCTATTTTGAATGATGCTTTTTAGGGGGTGGGGTAGGGGGCACTGGGCAGATCTGAAAAGATTTGGGAACCACCGGTCTGGATGATTCAAGCATCACTTGGGGAGGGCAGGGGGAACCACGGAAAACAGAATTTGGGGTAGCATCTATGCTGTGTGTGTGTGTGTGTGTGTGTGTGTGTGTGTGTAATTAAATTTTTGGTTTTACAATTTAAAATACTCATTTAAACATCCTTCAAATATCAATGATTTCCCTCCTTCTCTTCCCATAGTTCATTTTACATATCATAAAAACCCCTGCATATTTTACAAAAACTGAACCATGCAGTATTCCATTATTACATCCATCAAAACTTATTTGCACTGTTGAATTTATCTTAATGCTGCCCGCGTTTTCAAGTGTACACAGTTTCCCCCCCATGTATTCAATAAACGTTTCCCAATCTTCTCTAAACGTATGATCTTCTTGTTCTCTTATTCTGTATGTTAAATCTGCAAGCTGCGCATATTCCATCAGCTTAAGTTGCCATTCTTCTTTGGTTGGGACCTCACTCGTTTTATATTTTGGGGCTAACAAAACACGGGCCGCAGTAGTGGCATACATAAATAACCTTTTTTGTTGGTGTTGATCTTCAGCTTGTTGTCACACTTCCTTTTTGTCTCAATTTACCACCTGCAAGGTGGGACACGGGTGGCGCTGTGGGTTAAACCACAGAGCCTAGGACTTGCCGATCAGAAGGTTGGCGGTTCGAATCCCCACAACGGGGTAAGCTCTCTTTGCTCAGTCCCAGTTCCTGGCAACCTAGCAGTTCGAAAGCATGTCAAAGTGCAAGTAGATAAATAGGTACCGCTCTGGCGGGAAGGTAAACGGTGTTTCCGTGCGCTGCTCTGGTTCGCCAGAAGCGGCTTAGTCATGCTGGCCACATGACCCTGTACGCCGGCTCCCTTGGCCAGTAAAGCGAGATGAGTGCCACAACCCCAGAGTCAGTCACGACTGAACCTAATGGTCGGGGGTCCCTTTACCTTTACCTTTTACCACCTGCAAACTGATGTGTGTCTTCACTGTTGCAGGGATCTGAAGCTGGATAATGTTTTGCTCGATCACGAGGGCCATTGCAAGCTGGCTGACTTTGGAATGTGTAAAGAAGGAATCCGCGACGGGGTCACCACGGCGACCTTCTGTGGAACACCTGACTACATCGCCCCAGAGGTACAGGAAATATGTTGCCTGTGCAGGAGCTTTGCTTTCTCAAACCCTGCATTCCCCACCAGGCTCGGCTCGGCAGTGCAGAAACCGAGCTAGGCCAGGTTATGTGGCAGAATAAATGATTCCAAATTAGAAATATTTGCACAGTATTTGCAAGGCGTTTGGATATATGCTTGCACAGGGTTTACATATGTAGTTGCCTCAAAGCCGTGAGACTCTTCTGCAGGCAGCATGGATATTGTTCTGCCAACAGGACAACAGTTCTGTGCATGCACCCAGAAGCTCACTGCGTGCAGATAAAGCAGTGTGCAGGAATAATGAACATCTGCAAATGGGAGTGCATGAGCTGATGTGGGGGAAAAACCCTGCACAATGGTTGTGCCTTAGCGAGGGCCAATACAGTGGTACCTCAGTTACATACGCTTCAGGTTACATATGCTTCAGACTCTGCTAACCCAGAAATAGTGCTTCAGGTTAAGAACTTTGCTTCAGGAAGAGAACAGAAATCGTGCTCTGGTGGCGCAGCAGCAGCAGGAGGCCCCATTAGCTAAAGTGGTCTTCAGGTTAAGAACAGTTTCAGGTTAAGTACGGACCTCTGGAATGAATTAAGTACTTAACCTGAGGTACCACTGTATGTTCCCCATCAGTACAGTTGTACCTTGGATCTCAAACGCCTTGGCTCCCGAACAAATCAGCTCCTGAACGATGGAAACCCAGAAGTGAGTGTTCTGGTTTTCGAACAATTTTCAGAAGCCAAACGTCTGGCACGGCTTCCGATTGGCTGCAAGATGCTCCTGCAGCCAATCAGAAGCTGCGCCTTGGTTTTTGTATGGTTTTGGGAGTCGAACGGACTCCTGGAACGGATTCTATTTGAGAACCACGGTACGACTGTATCTGTGTGAATTTGTATCAAATGCATCCTGTGTCCCATTTTGCGCAGGTACCTCTGGATCAAGTCTAGGGTATTCTCATTGAACATTTCAGGGTTTTCTTTATGTCCCGTCCATGGGCCAGTTCACATGTTAAACTTGCTCTTTCATAGTACCCGCATGCATCTGTAGTGCTCCTCTTGGTTTCTGAGCACTTGGTGATTCGCAGCCAATTGTGAGGCGTGATAGGAAAGTTCTTTCTGTGAGATTAGCCCTGCAGTGGCTCACTCACAGGTCCAAGTAGTTTCTGAACAGCTTTATTTCTGAACAGGTAACTTCACTGTGAAGAACCCACACTCTGAAGAAGTGTGCATGCACACCAAAGCTCATACAAATAACAAACTTAGTTGGTCTCTAAGGAGCTACTGGAAGGAATTTTTTTTTGTTGTTGTTTCACAGTATACAAAACTGACTTATGTCCAACAACCAAATTTTACAGCTTTCAGCTTTTCAGCTAGCATTCCTTGAATGTGTTTAGAATTCTTACATGTGTCTATTGACTAACTCCCAACAATACCATACCAGACGTTTTCCTTAAATTCAAGGAACCATACTTCAGTCAATCAAAATTACTCTATGGCACGTTGGGGGAACCAAACTAGGCAAGTCCTTCAGGGAGCCTAGTTTACTTCCATCACTTCTTGTCATAAGTCATTGCTTGATGCTGCAATCATCCCATGGTGACCAGGCAAATGTGAACTAGGACTTGATTGCTTGACATTTGTGTGGGTTCGAGAATGCTGTACTTGAATTTCCATCACACTGCAAAGGATTTTGATCATGCGACATGTGTTAATTAGCTGGCCTGTATACATGAAGAGTCGGACACGACTAAACAACAACAACAACAACATACATGAAGGAGCGTCTCCACCCCCATCGTTCAGCTCAGACACTGAGATCCAGCGCCGAGGGCCTTCTGGCAGTTCCCTCACTGCGAGAAGTGAGGTTACAGGGAACCAGACAGAGGGCCTTCTTGGTAGTGGCGCCCACCCTGTGGAACGCCCTCCCATCAGATGTCAAGGAAATAAGCAGCTGTCTTATTTTTAAAAGACATCTGAAGGCAGCCCTGTTTAGGGAAGTTTTTAATATAATGCTGTAATGTTTTTAACACTCGATTGGGAGCCACCCAGAGTGGTTGGGGAAACTCAACCAGATGGGCGGGGTATAAATAAATTATTATTATTATTATTATTATTATTATTATTATTATTATTATTATGAGCCTAACACGGCTGCTCTTCTGGAAACAATTACGAAATCTCACTGGGCTTTGATCTGTGATCATCTTTCACATATGCATGCCATCACTTGGCGTTGCAGTCCTCAACAGGCAGGGAATAAGAATGACTAGGTAGCATTGTTGATTTTGACTCTTGCTCATCTCACGACAGATTTTACAAGAGATGCTGTATGGTCCCGACGTCGACTGGTGGGCAATGGGAGTGCTGCTCTATGAGATGCTCTGTGGCCACGCTCCCTTCGAAGCTGAAAACGAAGATGACCTCTTTGAGGCCATCCTTAAGGATGAAATCTCCTACCCGTCTTGGCTCCCAGAAGATGCCGTTTCAATTCTGAAGGCCGTATGTATACACTTGTCTTGTTTGCACAACTTCCCTCTGACTTACATCTTTGGCTAAACAGTAAGAGTCGGTAGGAATTTTAAAATATCCCTGTTCACCCAGGCATTTGCAGAGGAGGGCAACCAAGACGATAAAGGGTCTGGAAACCAAGCCTGATGAGGAACGGTTGAGGGAGCTGGGGAGGTTTCGCTTGAAGAGAAGACTGAGAGGTGATGGAACAGCCGTCTTCAAATATCTGAAGGGCTGTCACATGGAAGATGGAGCAAGCTGGTTTTCTGCTGCTCCAGAGGGTAGGATCCGAACCAGTGGGTTCAAATGACAGGAAATCAGATTCCAAATAAACATTAGGGAGAACTTTCCAACGGTAAGAGCTGTTCAGCAGCAGAACAGAAGGTGGTGGGCTCCTCTTCCTTGGAGGTTTTTAAGCAGAGGTTGGGTGGGCATCTGTCAGGGATGCGTTAGCTGAGATTCCTGTCTTGCATGGGGTTGGACCAGATGACTCTCAGGGTCCCTTCCAACCCTACAATTTTCTATGGTTCTGTGATTCTATGAAAGATACTGTTCCTGGCGACCTTGGAAATATCAGCTGTGGGGATACATAATAATAATAATAATAATAATAATAATAATAATAATAATAATAATTTTTTATTTATACCCCGCCCTCCCCAACCAAGGCCGGGCTCAGAGCGGCTTACAAGCAATAATAAAAACAAGATGAATGATTACAACTTAAAAACAAAAATAAAAGACAACATTAAAATAATGGAACATTAAAATATTAAGATGTAGCCTCATCGTAGGAGGAGAAGGAAAAGAAAAAAGAAAGAGAGGGAGGGAGGGAATCAAATTGGCTCCAAGCCAAAGGCCAGGCGGAACAACTCTGTTTACAGGCCCTGCGGAAAGAAATCAGATCCTGCAGGGCCCTGGTCTCATGAGACAGAGCGTTCCACCAGGCTGGAGCCAGTGTTATAAAGGCCCTGGCTCTGGTTGAGGCTAATCTGACTTCCTTAGGGCCCGGGACCTCTAGGGTGTTGCTATTTATGGACCTTAAGGTCCTCCACAGGGCATACCGGGAGAGGCAGTCCCGTAGGTACGAGGGTCCTAGGCCGTGAAGGGCTTTAAAGGTCAAAAAGGTAAAGGTAAAGGTACTCCTGCCCGTACGGGCCAGTCTTGACAGACTCTAGGGTTGTGTGCCCATCTCACTCAAGAGGCCGGGGGCCAGCGCTGTCCGGAGACACTTCCGGGTCACGTGGCCAGCGTGACATCGCTGCTCTGGCGAGCCGGAGCCGCACACGGAAACGCCGTTTACCTTCCCGCTAGTAAGCGGTCCCTATTTATCTACTTGCACCCGGAGGTGCTTTCGAACTGCTAGGTTGGCAGGCGCTGGGACCGAGCAACGGGAGCGCACCCTGCCGCGGGGATTCGAACTGCCGACCTTTCGATCGGCAAGCCCTAGGCGCTGAGGCTTTTACCCACAGCGTCCCGCGTCCCTTATAAAGGTCAAAAGCAGCACCTTAAATCTGACCCTGTACTCCACCGGGAGCCAGTTCATCTTGAAAAGCACTGGGTGAATATGCTCCCATGGCAGAGACCCCGTGAGGAGCCTCGCTGCAGCATTCTGTACCCGCTGGAGTTTCTATGGCTGTTCTATAATGTTCTCAGCTGTTGTCATTGTTTTGATTCTTTAAAATTGCATTGTTTTGCACCTTTGGTAGTTCATCTGGGGGAATGGGCCATGGTTCCACCAGTCTCAGTCTGTCCCCAGCCAGCTCCACCTTCCTTGTTTACAGCTGGTCTGGATGTGGCTCTCTGCCTGTCACTGCCTGTGTCTCCACCTAATGCAGATCTTCCCTGCCTTTTGCCCTATCGGTCCCAGTGGGAACAACCCACTACTGGGCAATAACTGTTTTCATGAAATGTTGAGTTCACACGTATTGTCTCTCACAGCTACCCAAAAGGGGAGTGGGGCCAAGGAGGCAGGAGCAGAAGCATAGAATTGGACGGTGTAATGCGTATGGGGTTGCTCGTCCGTAAGCTGCCGCCTCTCCAGGCTAAATTGCCTTGTTAAACCTTTCTGACTGGACAGCCCTTCTCACCGTGGCTGCCTCAGTCACTAGCAGAATCTGTCAGTGGGCGTTTCTTAAACCTCTTCCAACATAAAAGTTGTTTGACTCCCAGTCTCCTCCTCCTCTCCCTGCGCGGAAGTCTTCTGCGCAGGGAGGGCGTGGGTAGCGGAGGACCTGCGCTCTCCCCGCTGGTGTCCAGTGAAGAGTCCTGGAGCCCTCTCGCCGATTCCCCCATCTGCCCCCCTTTATCCCTGGTGTTGCGCTGATTTGCTTCCCCCTCTGCTGATCTGCCTCTCCCCCTGCTGGGCCCTTCTCCAGCATCATCTGAGAGCCTTCTCTTCGCCTCTAGCTCCAATGGCAGTTCCCTGACAGAAGGGACCAAGAGGATCACCTAGTCTAAGGTTAACAGATTTATTTTTTTTCAAAGAATCCGGGGACATTTATTAATTTTTTTGAAAAGAGAAAAAAATTGGAAAAATTATTTTTTTAAAAAATTAAGAAGTAATATCTTCTCTTCTGTCGTCTCCTCTGTCACACGGCCCTCCTCTGGGCCCTGGCCTGCTCTCTTGGAACGCTACCCTGCCATGGAGTAGGCTCAGGTCAGGCCTGGGCTCGGCCACATGTCCTTGCCCTCCCGGTGCTCTCCTACCTCTCTTCCTCAGCAGTGGTGATGGCAACAGCGTGGCAAGGTCGGAGCTCGCCTTTTTTTCCTCCTTCCTCTTTCTCTCTCTTCCTTCTCCTCTCCTCCTTCTCCCTGCGTTGGCTCCAGGGTTTTTACTGGCCCCGGAGCGCTGCTGGCCAGTTGGCCAGGTGGCCGGCCGCTCTCACTCCCGGCTCAATTTGGGTCATGGGGGGGTCAGCGGTTCCCCCAGTTGATGCGCCAGTGTCCCTGGTTCCCTCTTGGCAGTGGCAGCGGCAGTGGGAGTCTCAGCATCCCGGAGCCAGCCTGGTAGCGCAGTTCGCTCTGGCTGGCTTCAGGAGCTGCTCGCTGCTGTGGCGCCCGCCATTTTGCCTCGCTGGAAGTCCCCATATGATGTGTATTGTGCCGTTGAACCAATCACGCAACATTCATTCCCTACTAATAAATCTACAACACTTAAAATATAAATACAGGGACATTAAATGGAATCTGGGGACATTCCGGGGACGGATTTTGTCCAGGGACAGATTTGTAAATCCAGGGACTGTCCCTGGGAAACGGGGACGTCTGGTAACCATAGCCTAGTCCAACACCCAGGAATGCAGGAATCTTTTGCCCAACATGGGACTCGCAACCCTGAGATTAAGAGTCTTATGCTCCACCGACTGAGATATTCCAAAAGACAAGTCTGCAGTTCCAAGTTTGCTGTTCCTTGGAAGGCAACCTCCTTCCCTTGGGCAGCAGAGCTGTTTCGTCGTAGAAACCATCTGACTTTCTCCAAATTCCTCTTTGTATGGAAGTCTTAGAAGGTCACTTCTCTTCCTGGAATGTTCCTGAGAACATTCTTTAGCAGGAAAGCGGCAGTGACCTATAATGCACAAGGGGGAAAACTGAGCAAGGTTCCCAAAATCCCTCCCTCGCTCCGGCTTCAGTTATTTGTTTCTGACGAACAATTTATTGTCAGCTCTCCAAGGCAAATGACATTTCCAAACAATAGAATAATCACTGGCCACTGTAAAAACAGGATGCTGGACTAGATTGGTGATAGGCCTGAGCCAACAGGTCTCTTCTTATGTTCTTATAAAAAGAATCTGAACACCGATAGCCTACAAATCAATATGGCTAACATAGGGTTGCCATATTTCAAAATGTAAAAGCAGGACACCCTGAAAGTTCTTTTTTTTTTTGTAAGAATAATTTTTTATTAACCGACCAATCACATCAAATCAAACCAAATTACATAAATTCCAAATTACACAGCCAAATTTTAAATTTTTGTTGGGGGTGCCCATATTTCAAGTTCCGAAGGGGATCCAATCAACTTCTTGCTTCTTACTGCTGTTTTAATGTCCACAAATCTAACCTTATGATGTTCACAGTACTGTCCAGTCCTTTCTTATTGTTTTTCCACATCTCTTGTTGTTATTTTCATATATTTTAACTTTCTCTTTGGGACCTCTGATAATCTCCGCAAGCTGGTTAGAACAGTTTGTAATCCTGCATGCATATTTTTTTTTTTATCCAGTAGCCATATCCAGACGTTTTCCATATAACATCACTTCCATACATCAAAACAGTCTTAGCGTCATTAATCTTCACCAATCTGCCTCCTTTCTCAAAACCTCTGAGGAGATTCACTAGGAATACAGTCTGAAAACAAGTCCATTCTTCCTCCCGCCTATAAAACCTTTGGCAAGATGGCGACTCCGAATTGCTGCGCCATTCCCAAAAGCTCTTATTGCTTCTCGATCTCCATAAAGCATACTTTTGGTTAAAGTTTATCTCCACACAGACCTTAATCATCCTGCTTGGGTCAGTTCAACCGACGATTCTAATGAGGAGGGGTCCTTGTAAATCACATAGAAGGAAAGTAAAAAAGGTCGCCCCCCCCCCATTCAGTCCTGTTGTCAACATACCCAGCCTTTGGTGTATCTTCATCGTAAAATATTCCTATTTCTCCAACCCGTCGTCTTCTTTCGCAGAGGTCACTTAAATTAGCAGACTTCACTCCCCTTCTTCACTTGAAATATGTGCATTTGCTTCTTTAGTAATTAATTATTCCAAATTGCTGCAACTAGTGCGCGATCAGAGACAGCGTCCAGGAGAGCCGAGGTCCACACGGGGGCATTCTGCCTAGGGCCCTCACCCCCTTCTTTCGAATTAGGGGGTGATTTATGGGCACAGCAGGCAAGAGCAGTGTTCCCCATTTCCTTGGGGCAACAAGGGAGGCTACCTACTCCCATAACAGCCTATTAATTACCCCGTGTGGGTCGGAGAGATGGTATTGTCAG